TTTCAAATTATTAAGAGTTTATGATTGTTAAAATTTGACTGATGAGCAGTTGTGTGACAAGAGATCATTTATTGGCGAGAATTTTTCTGTTCACCAAATTTGCATATTCAACCGTAAGGCTCTTAAAATAATGTGGATGAATTCAGAATGAGAAAGATTTTTCTTTTATATTTAAAATCTTTCAGAGATTAACATATTTCTTTTTTTTGTCGGCTTACTGCTTCATATTCGAAAAAAACTATTCCTTCCCTTTAAAAATTATTGATAAGTATGAACTTTCGTCAAAATTCTTAGGTCGAAGAAACGCACAAGTGCACTAGTTTATTAAAAACTGCTTCATGTAAGTTCTTCTGAAGAGATAATTGGTTGTGTAAGTGGAAAACCTGAAGGTCTACGCTTAATGTCAGACTAAATAGAGACTACGCTAGCTGCTCTTTTTTTTTCGGAGATAACATTCATATGGAAAATGAATGGAATTGGAAAACGACCTGGCAATTGAAATATAAATTCTTTAGATATAAGCATCTCGTAGTTGAAAACAATTCCCTTGCTGCTCTCAAAAGGTGTGCTAGACGCTTATAACAAATGGTAAAGATTATGTGACATAAAATTTTCTGAAGGGCACCGTATTTGAGGGTACTTTTTTTTTTATTCCTACTGCTTTAATTGAATATAAATCTGGTATGAAAAGGAAAAGCAAAGAATCTTTTTCTGAGAGAGGGAAATGCATATCTTTTCTTCAAGGCACTTCCAGTGTTCATTGTGTAGGCTGTAAATGCTCCCCAGTGTCAAATAAAGAATGCGCACGTGTTCGAGTACGCGAGCATTTGTTAAAAGAGCGTGTATGTTTCATTTCACTGTCAACATTAGTAGCTTATTGGAATACTTTTGTTTCGTACATTCTCTCTTTTATTCTCTTATTTACTATTTTCAGATGTTTTTATTTTCTTTTTCTCTAGCATTTTGTTCTCAGTCGTGATCAGAAGGCTGAAATCAGAGCTAATTTCGAAAGCGACTAAATTTGGAAAGTAGATTTTCAAATGCTTTTTTTCCAAAAAAATGCTATCGCTAGTTTTGGCTGCTGGATAGAGGTATTGTAGGAAACAGCTGGAAATGGCAACTTGCATTTATGTACCTAAACTCTTTTTCTCAAGGTGCTGTTCTGGCCAACATCGAGTTAAATGGTATGCATATCTGATTAATCTAATATTTAGCAGAACTCCGTAAATAAGTTTATAATGACTTTGTTCCTAACTCGCTAATTTATTGATTATTTTCATCTGTTAGAAAAAGTAATTATTCACTTAAATTATTGTTGTCTTAAGTTTTGCTGAATGTGCTTTAACCTAGCTCTTTGCAACTCTTTTTTTCTTTTTATCAATAGCTATGTAACTTTAAGCGTCCTTTCAAAACCTATTGAGTTTCTGCAGCTTCCTCTTGTTCAACCTTCCTGCTTTGTGCATAAATGTTGAATAGTTCTTGAAGAGTAAGTTGCCCTATTGTGGTCGCAAAGTTCACATATGTTTTTCACAGCAGAAATTTCTTTCTTTCAGGGACTTTAGTATACTCGGAAGCTTAGGTCATATACTTTTGAAACCTACTTTTTTGAATGATTTGCATTTTTGACACTTTTCATATTAGAAGCAGAAAATTTGAGCTTTTTTGGAAATCCGTATCAAAAAGGGCCAGACACCAACGAAATAAGCCATAATTGCTACACATTTGTCTCTTTCGTGGCAGCAAGACAGAGCTCTAAAAATGAGGACAGTTTTTGATGAATATCGTCATGGACAGCAAGCTGGAGGCGATAGCTGGGGATATGCTTAAGGAAGAGTAAATTGAACGAGATTCTAAGATGGTAAATGAGACAAAGTTTCGTAATCGGACTAAACCCATTTCTGAATAGTCGTTTGCGTAATTGTCAAGGGCCACAGTTTTATATCCAATTTTGTAGAAATTTTATGAGGTAGGTATGAAATTCCGCCGTTATCACCGCCTTTAGCCGATCTTCTTGCCAACCAACCCCCATCACTTTGGAATATTTTGATATCCCGGTGCCATGAATGGTCCAGAAACCAGGCCCATGCTGAAAGTCCTACATATTTTTGTTCCAGCACCCTTAAATACCAAACTATCGACGTGTGAGATTATATCCATTGGCAATGATAGACCCTAGTAGAGCAAATCTGAGAGGCTTTGTCTTGAGCTGAAATTTGTTTGTTAAGCGTCGAACAAGCGCAAAGCTTTTTGGACAATCTGATTCTTTGTGAAATCTAGTTTTATAATCGATTTTTTTTTATTAGCCTTGGCTTAGACTTACCAGATTTATGGACCATTAACACAGATAATTTAGCGAGCGCGCTGATTTTGTCGTGTTTTTGGATGCAAATTGTTATGCACTTTTCAGGAATGTCCATGATGACCGATGCAGAGGATCGGCTCATGGTTGACCTTTTCCGGGGGTATAACTCACTGGTTCAGCCAGTGCGTAATAAAACTGAATTACCTATGATAATCAAGATTGCTATGCAACTTGTGCTGCTCATCAATGTGGTGAGTATAGAATACCGGTGTGCCATCGCTTAGCTTTATTGGAAAAAAGCTTGCAGGATGAGAAGGAACAGGTCATGCACACAAACGTTTGGCTCACCTTGGTGAGTATTGCGAGT